GCTTAATAGTGACAGAGGGTGTCTGTGAATTTTATCACTTTGCCCATTGAAAAAGTGAGGCACAAAGTCCCTTTAAGTATAATTTAAAACTTTTAAATGATATAATAATTGCACAGATTTTTAGGATAGGTATGTTTCAGTACATGTATGGAACATGTAATGATCACATCAAAGTAATGGGATGATCTAACCTCTCAAACATTTATCATTTCTTTGTGTTGGGAGCATTCATAATTCTCTCTACTAACTCGTTGCAAATATCCAATTCATTATTGTTAACTCTAGTTATGAAGTTTTGCCGTCTCTTTTTCAGGTCCTCATATCTAGTTCATAATGAAGCCATGACAGAAATGCTCAATAATATCTCTCATTATGAAGCATATTGCTAGCGCTTGTGTGTGACAGGGAGAAGGAGCCCAGGGCCTTCTCACTGAGCTAAATCCCCAGTCCTTTTTTTAATTTTTTATTTTGAGACAGTTCTCACTAAGTTGCCAAATTCCCCCGGTTAGGCTAGAATTCACAATCCTTCTGCTTCAGTCTCCCAGAGTGCTAGGATTACATGTGCACACCACCACCATGCTTAATATGTTTAATAACATTTTATTTTTCTTCTGTCATTGATGTGACCCCCACAGTCTTCTGAAACTTTTAAAGCAACGCTGCTCCAAGTGTGGTCCATGGAAGGTGCTGTTCGCCTCAGATTCGCAATGTGATAAGGACAGAAACTGAGGATGGCTGTTAAGCGACTGTAACAGCAGGGTGATAAGTGGCAATACACCCAGTAGGAGTGGTTTTTACAATTCATTGTACTGTTTTACCAAGGCCCTCTCCCCAGTGAACTGAGGGCAAAACCCTTGATCGTTTACAAAACACAGATGGAAAGTATTCATTTATAAACAATAATGGAAAAATTTAAATCACTTTTAATTCCACCATTGAACCTAAGCCATTTTTGTGAAAGAAACTAGGGGGTAAGAGTAGGGGAGAGATTTACTTTTCTCTATAAACCTTGATTAAGTAATTTTATAGTTTTAATCACATGCACTTTCTAAAATAAAAATATTTTAATCATGAACATGAAAAATACGTAGCTAGATATAAATGATGAGTTTGGCCCTAGCGGTTTTGCCAAGGTGTACTGAGCTGTGCGGCCCCTGAAACCGCGGGGAGACAGTCCAGTTGCAGACCTCTAGGCCACTGACTTTTTGCCAGTTGCTCCCACTGCCCAGTTCTCCAGGACGATACGGGGCTTTGTCCCAGGAAGGACCATCAGCACCCTCCTTAGGGGGCAGGACCTTCCTGCTCTCCGACCTTCCCTCAGAGACCAGCTTGCACTCAGCTGCCTGGCTGTCCCCTGCAGAGTCAGAGCAAATACGTGCCGCATTCTGGGGAATGTTTAGGAGAGCAGGGAGCCATGAGGAAATGCCTTCCAGACGGGCATGGCGTCCAGTATGTCTGTGGTGGCCATTTCCAAGTCCTCATGAAAACCCCTAGAATGACGAGTGGCATTGCTTGCACAGCCACAGAAGCAGAAACAGGCAACTGGCTGCCCCACCCAGAGAGCAGCACGGATGACTTGAGGCAGAGGTGCGCATGGCCAAACTTGATGTCATCTGGGTAAATGTGCACTGAGAAGAAAATAGTGGAGCTGGGAGCAATGAGAGAAAAGATCAAGAAAGAATTGCAAAGACCCACGATAAAAGGAAAACAAACGTGCCTCAGCTGTCTGAGAAATACATATTATATAAATATTTCTCAAGGGCTGAAGAAAGTTTTACTGGAAACATATACACATTTCAAATCCCCATCTTCATTCCTAACCTGAAAGACTACTTTACTACCCAGGGATGGGAAGAGAATAGTTTGGTCAGATCAGAGGTTCATCATCTCAGACTTTTCTATGTTAAACTTAGAAAGAGATAAAAGAGGCGGATCCTCCCGGTGTAGCCCAAATAATCTGTTTGGTGGTACTTTCCAGTCTCCCTTTGACCTCCCTTGTGAAATTTCATCCTTCGGGGTACTCAGGAATCTCATAACTTTCCAAGGCTTTAGAAAACGTGTAGAGTTTTATACACCTCTGTGCTCTGTGTACCTGAGTTCCAACCAGAGGCAAGAGGGTTGGACAGTTGACTCCCACATTTTTTGTTTTTGGCTACAGGCTGCCTCCAGGGTGAGGCAGAAATCTCCAGCCTAGACAATTCCTATCTGCCCCGGGCCAGATTCCAGAGAAGGGTGAAGGCATGAGCCGATGGCTCAACACATGCAGGGGCTGGGGGCCGTGCTCTAGGCAGGCACTGACCACAACTGCTATAGCAGCAAGAGGTGGAAATATAGACTTGTGGACTGATACAGTGTCTAAGGAGCAGTTTATATTATGTACAAATCCTATCCTATCCAACCCAATCCTAGTATCATACACATATGTCAAAGCATGACAATAAGAGTGTGATTTTATTAGATGGGATTACAAAATAAATCTGGAGGGTAACATGGAGGCTCTTAATGCACTGAAGTCCATGCGTTTTATAGAAGAGGAGATCAGAGTAAAGTCTTACCCAGAACCAGCTCTTATTTTCATTTCCTTTTTTTTTTTAATTGAACTCAGGCCTTAGCACAGAGCCACATCCAGCCAGCCTTTTTCCCTTCCCTTCCCTTCCCTTCCTTTCCCTTCCCTTCCCTCCCCTTCCCTCCCCT